TTTAGGTGTACTTGAAGATGGTTGCATGCCAAATATGTATCTTCCTATCTTCCTTCCTTTCACAGAAAAGAAAAGAGAAAAGACGTAGACCAGGTGGTCTATAGTCCTTAAAGTAAACTTCAGCTTTCTATATTAAAATCCTAGGGATAAGCTAAGCTAAAGTAATCTTCAGTTTTCTATATGATGAAAATTCTAGGGATAAGATAGCAAAAGTGGGAAGAAAAATCCTGACATCACGATCCATATTTGGAAGGTACTGTGTTGATACTATGGAAAAAGCCATTTAGGTAAAATGAGAATTGAAAAAGGCTTGCAAATAAAACAATGTGCCAGATTCCAATTAGCCTGTTGCAGCATAAACAGCCAAGACTCTCATTGCATCAACATGAATGATATATATGACTATAGAATCCATCAACATATGCAACATAGTTTCAGCACATTTATTTATTTCAGGGCTCAAACTGTTTTGCTTTGAACATGGCAATGGCAGACAGAAGAAAATATTTACAGAAGGTATCAGGTTAGAAACATCTCAGCAATTCTTAGAAGCTGTTTTGCTATACCTCTGCTCCTGGATAAATAGGCACATTTATTTATTGCCATGTGCAATATAAACATGAACAAAAACTAGTTGAAAATAGGTCTAATCTCATAATGAGCGCGAAACTAGACAAGTAATTTTGGGAGAGAAGATGTTGCCCAAAGGAAGGCATTTGTTTCAAAGTTGTCTAATTTATACTGAAATGAATTAAAAGACAGTTTTATCTGGAAGTAGCCTTCTGAAATAGTGCTAGCTTGTAGTAGACTTAATTTGTGGTAGCTGGGCAACATTTTATAAAGTGATATCATTACATAATGGCTCTTAAACTACCTCAAAACCTCCAGGAGTTATAAATATATGCAACTCTATAAAAATATCTAACTCCATAACTCCACTGGTGAATCCATGCCAAAAATATAAAGCTATTTCTACTGACGTTTAGCCTGACCTTTAGTTTTCTAGGAAAGCGTTCAGATTTTTTCAAAGGTGATGTCTAAAGATATGTTGATACCAGGCCAGATGAAGGGTTTTTTTGGGGTGGCATGGCCTAAAAAATTATAGGGGGCTAGTCAGTGGAATTTGTATTTCATTCTAGTATTCCGAATTAGGAATTCCATTGCCATGTTTGTAGGAAAACTAGACCCGTAATATAAAGGTATTGAATGACAGTCATGTACAAAATTATGAAAACCCGTTCTTTCATATTTTTAGTTTCAAACAGCTGCCTGAAGAAACTTTCTAGTTCCCCAAAAAATTATTTATGAATTATCACTCCATCCTGCCATTTGAAGAATCTACTTCTGTGAAAGTGCTTCAACCTATTTAAAATGGCAACATTTTATGTGAATTCCTGTGATGTTTTTTGCAGGCATGAAATGCTTTCTTGCTAAAAAGTAAAAGCTATATACTGAAACTACAAAGTTTTGTTTCTTTTTTTGCCCACTAAAAAGTAGTTGCCTTTGATTGTAATTACAAGGATACCTTTGAATGCATTTTGCATGATATACGGTATCTGTGAAAGATTCATATAATCGAGCTGTTGATTAATAACATTTGTAGAACAAGCTTGGGTGAATTTATCTGCCATTGGGTATAAAACTTTCTTCTTCTACACTAGTAGCCAGCCAAAAATAGCAGTGGGACAACAAAAGAAGATGGGAAGAAAAATGCTACTTTTTATAGAGGCCTACCATACCTATGCTGCAAAAATTCAGATAATCATTAGATAATAGCAAAAAAAAAAAAAGTTTTTCTGTGCAGTTTTTGTTGTTATCTAAAGTCTCATTTGGACTCCTACAGGCCAAATGTGGTAGCTCTACTATAGAGACTTGGACTTCAGACAACTTTTGGGAGCTAGCACTTATGAAAGACTTCTTCATTTCATAGGTGTTTTTTTTTTTTTTTTTTGCAATATTATAGAGAGAAAGAGATTATTATTATTTTAATACAAGCAACGCCTGTAAGCAATGCCATTATTTTTCAAGGGAAAATGAGCCATCTTGATGTTTTCATGTTAATGGTAAAAGAATGAAATAAGAGGTGATTGTATATTCTATTGAGCTCAGACAAGAACTCTTAAAATGCAGGCATTCTTGTAAAACAGCTCTCGGCTGGAAAAATGCCAACTCAGCCCCAGGGGGACAATTTTATGTTTAAATCTTGCCTCTTAGAAAGAAATGGCGTGGGAAGGGCTTTAATTGGGTCAGCCTGTCTTCCATTGCTTCACAGCTAGGATAGACTGAATGACAAGTGAAGCACTGTGCAGTCTGAATACATATTGAATGGGGGAATATTTTTGGTTGAAGCAGTGATATTTCTTATTACATAATTCATACCAATGTATTTGTTTCCTATCGCATTTTGAAAATTATTGACTGCAAGCTCTTTTTGTATCTCAAAATGAAATTTCTTCTTACGCAAATGGGCTTGTTACAAATTCTGGGTCTGCATGAATTCAATTTAACAAAATTATACAAAATTTCACTATTGATTTGAAGTGACCTGTGTTTAGTTTATGGCTTTATTGATCTGGTTTGTACTTTATGTTTTGTTTTCCAGATTTTACAGTTTATGAAGTAGTCAGGGTCCTAGTACGGCTTCAGCAAAATGTAATGATATAATGAAAAGTATTTCTACAGAAAATATTAATATCTAACAGGCAATCTTTCAGAAACTCTGATTCCCAGTCAGAGCAAACCTAAAGGCTCATCAGGCCAACATAAGTCATTTTTTTTTTAATCTTTCCGTGTGAAAACTGACTAGATTGATAGCTGAATCTTACTTCCACATCGGAAACAAGATTCAGACAGGAAATTTAGGCCTAGAAATAGCAAATAAGGCAGAGAAGTTAAAGAACTGTCTTAACATAATCATAGTCCTAAATCTTGGTAATTCTATTAATATATTCTCCTAAAACTTGAAGTTATGAATAGAAGTTGATGAATAGACGAAGTTAGGAAGGCAGCCCCCTACATAATACCGGTACATTACAATCATTCAAATAATTACCATGCAATGAATTTATCCCAATTTCTACTGTTTTAAAGCTTATTTGTATTCCGTTTCTCTGTTGTTTGTATCCTACTATTTCTCTAAGGAACCTATGACTAAATGCAAAGAGATCTTCCCACAGTATTCCTGATGAAAAGACACTTGGGCCAAGAGATTATGAAATACTGAAACAGGTGCTACTTCTTTGGAACTTCAGTTCCAGATATCAGCATCAAAATTAGACAAGATGTCTAGACTAGTATTGTGTATCTGATATCCCAGCGTTTCATTTTATGTGTTCTTTTTCACACCAGGAAATGGGCAAGGATGAATATCATCTGATTTAACTAACTTAAAGTTTATTGTATTTTTGTTTGCCATCCCCTCTTGGTTTTATTTACAAAACGTTGAATATTGGCTTATTTTTCTAAGACAACTAAAAGCCCCACAACATCAAAGAGATACATAAGGGTGGTTCCAGTCCAAGATCATTGCGCCCCTCACATATGGAATGGGTAATGATCAAAATCAGAATGGGAGCATTTCTGCAATTTAAGTCCTTTCCAGTCAAGTTTTTACAATAACAAAATGATTTAAAACAAATCAAATTATAATGAATAATAAGCTATGCAAAAAATACTCCCCTGCCCCACAAATCCTATTGTTAATCAGCTTTAGGTTTGGTTCTTTTTTCCTTTATTTTCAGTTCAGGAGACATCATCTCATTATGGAAGGTATAATATGCACAGATGGCTTCTTTACATCAAATCAAACCATGATAAAATCCAAATGGGCTAACTTACAAACACATGGGGACTTTGGAGATCTTGTCTATTACCATAGTAGTAAATTGGCTTTTTCTTCTGTTTCTGTATTGGAAAAGAACCGTCTTTTGTTTCTCCTTTCTTTGATGGGTTTTCAAAGTTTATAACACCCCCACTTCCCCAAGTTGTGATATAAAAGTGATAAAACTTTCTAACCATCTGAGTTTGTAATCACAACTGCAACTAGCTTTTAACTGGCAGGTGTTTGTTCATCTGAAGCATTAAGCAACATTGGCGATAAAGACATTGAAGTATTCCCCGCTGCCCCTCATCTATTAATCCAGCCATACCAAATCTAATGAGAATCACCAATATCAAACCTTATCTTAAAATAACTTCAGTGAAATTATTTCCTGGACAATTGGACAACACAATCCATGGTATCATGTATTATTTCAAACAACAAAGTAATTCATTCCCTCACTTTCAGCATCATTTAAAAGAGTCACTTTTCATCTCTAATTCGTAAGAGTACCAAAATGGATTTTGTAATCCTTCTGTTTTCTTACTCTTTGCAAGCCTTCTTATTAGGAAGGCAGATTACCTAAACATTGGCATGTGCCATTCTCCATCACATATTCATTTTTCTCTGCATATAACATATTTATATTTGCAGATTCTTAGATACAGTTCCACTGAAAGTTGGAAGGTGTTTCCAGATGTGAGGTACTCAAAGAACAAGTGGAGACAGAAATATGAAAAAATGATAAATGCTGTTTGGACATCCATAATATTTAGTAACCAAGGCAGGACAACTGTTTCCAGTGAGAGTTTTATAGAGCAACCTGAATCGCAAGATCATCTTGCCTTACACATTCCAAGAAAGACACAACAATTACTTTTTTTGCTCCTGTCTCAGATTTCATTCTTTCCTTCCACAAGTTGCTAACAACTGCCGTGTATATTTTAATGGCCTTGAACAACATATCATTTACTGTGCGACAGGATCTAGTAACTTCACTTCTTTCCTGGCAATTGGAGCAGAAGGGGTGATATTTCTGATATATATTTTTTATAAGCATCATTTGCTACCCTTAACCTCTCACTATTAACCTTGCAACATGGCGTATGTTACATTTATTCAGAATCTACTGGCCCTTATTTCCAAACTTGTGCATTCACGATTTGAATCTTAGCCCTACCTTTGTAATGAGGAGTGAACTGTTTCATTGCTGTTGGAAGAGCTTCATAGAACCATTGCTCCTGAGAGACAAGTGGCTTACAGACAGTGCAGTCATCATACTTCATCATGCTCATATGTCCTCCAACCTGGTGGATGAATGGTTCTAGCAGGATTTCTTTCCTGGTTTCCCCGATATCCAGATTATTCTGCACCACCATGATGTAACCAGAGATACTGGAGTCTTTTTCTGTCGGCTGTTGCTGGGTTTCAAATGGAGGAGCCACTGTATAACTAGGATCAGAACGTTTCTTGAGGTTTTTATGCCAGCATATGAACTTGGCTATGAAGCATATATGCCCCTTGGCAGTTCAATAATCCTTCCAGGACTTTTCTGCACCCCAGAGTATAAATTCAACAGCTGAAGGGAAAAGAAAAGAAAAAAGCACATGGCATTACTCCTTCTCCAATAACACACCCACTTATCCACTCCCTAGTGCACTTGTTACAGCATGTAACATTTAGTACTCTGGCCCATAACTTTGCACATGTTAAATGGATGTATTCCTAACTTTGGGAAAAGGTTAAGGTATTTTCTGGGATTCCAGGTCTGAAAGACCCAAATGGATTCTAATTAGATTGCATAGATAGGAGTGTCTGAGTAAAAAGATAAGGAAAGTTAAACTAAAAGAGCTATCAGGCTAAAATAGCTTATCTAGCAGTCTAATTGGACATCCCAACAGCCATCTAACACTAACTTATTAATAAGGGGTCCCTTCTCTCTTCTTGTTAAAGAGAATCCAGGTTGAGGAAAAAATATGCTCAATTTGTTTATCCCAAAGCTGCTCCCAACTGGCTTTTCAACCTTCATTCATGGAGCCCTGGAGCAGAATGTTCCCTACCAAGAAGGTTATTAATATTGCTCTGTGAATAGTAGTCTCTGGGCTTTAACAATATAGTCTTAGTAAAAGGGATATTCACACTTCCTTCAGGGAATCATTTTACCATTACACTATCCATCTTTCCAAAAGACACTTGAGATCAGAACATTCCCTACTTCAGCACTAGGACTTGGGGAGGGGGTTACATCAGGGCATTTTATTTTTTTATTTTTTATTATTTTGTTCAAATAAATTAATTATTAAGTTTTGATGTGACTTCAGAAGAAAAGAAGAAAAAAACTACAGTTGTACCTCCATGTTAACAGATATAAAACTCCTTTAAAGAAAGATAGAGGCAGAGGAGGTAGGTTTTGACCTCCCCTCACTTCTTGTAGCTCACTTTACAAAGATTCAAGATTCATCTTTTACCTTGTGGTGATTATACCACAGATATTCATAACAGTTCCTCTATGACTGACAACCTACTCAATTTTGGTAGAGTCCCTCTCTTTTGCACACATCACAACACAAAGATTGGGTTGGCATTTCAGGTTATAATGTAGTTTTAAGGACTCTCACTGACAGAGATGGTTGTGGCCTACTCAACAACCTAAACAAGATTTAGTGCAATATGTGAACACAGTTAAAGTTATGCAATAGGTCAGGATGTAAAGCTAGGGGCATAAGAAACAATATTGTATTGCTATCTTTCAAAGTACCTAAGGCATAGCCAATAAAGACTGTGATCATACCCTACATATATTGTGATTTTCTGACAAAGGACAGTAGAAAACAGGAGACACTGTAACATGACGTGACTTGTCTTATACTAAATTCTGGATAGAACTCTGAAGAAAATCAATAGAACCAGGTGGGATCATGGTACCTGCATCTTCATCTGACTCAGGGTCTGGAATAGCAGCAGTATGTCTTCTGGCTCCATATTATCACATTACAGTAGTTTTCAGGCTGTTCAAGCCTTTTTTTTTTTTGTAAATTTTATTGGTTTTTTAAAACAAACATGAACAAACAAAACATAAAAACATCAAACTTTCTTCCGTAAGTATACAAGCAGTGTGCCGGTTGGTTTACAAATTATTTTGTGCATCCATTTCATAGTCTTCAGTTACCATTACATTGCATAATAGCTCATATTATCAATCAAAAATTGAATACCCTAGTATCATTATTAATCAATCATTTGACTATAATTTTATTCATTCGTATTTTACGAGATAACCATAATTTACTTAGTTTATTTTATAAGAATTCATATTATCCTCCCAAATCTATCCTAAAAACATTTTGTAGTTATAATAAAAAAGTACACTTTTATATATTTATTATTTTCTAAAGATCTACATATTTCATTACTGTATTTTATTATCTAACCATTGATAGAAAAGGTCCCAAAGTTTATAAAATTGTTTATCCTCTTGTTCTCTAATTTCAAATGTCAATCTACTCATTTCAGCACATTCCAATATTTTCTTAATGATTTCCTCCTGCGATGGTATTTTCTCATTTTTCCAGTTTTTAGCAAATACAATCCTAGCCGCTGTTAATACATTTACAATCAAGTATTTCAAATCTTTGCTATATGTATCAGGTAAAATTCCCAGTAAAAATATCTCTGGTTTTAAATCTATATGTTTTTTTGTCATTTTTTTCCAACCACATGTGGATTTTAGTCCAGTATTTTCTAGCGTCCGCACAAGTCCACCACATATGGTAATATGAGCCAGGTGTCTGATGACATTTCCAACATTTTTCGGATTTATTCTTGAACATTCTTGTCAGGGAAAAATGCCACCTGTAAAACATCTTATACAAATTTTCTTTATAAGCTGTTGACATTGTCATTTTATAATTTTGAGACCACAATTTTTGCTATTTCTGTAAATCAATTCCATATCCAAAGTTCTTTTCCCAAACAATAATAGTTTCTTTAACTTGTTCTTCTTCTAGTTTAATTTCTAATAAATATCCATACAGTTTTTAAATTACCTTTTCATCAGTACCTGTCAAAATCTTATCTAGATCAGTCAATTTATCATAGAAACCTTCTGTTTTAAAATCTTTATCATACCTTGAATGTATTTGCGCATATGAAAACCAATTCATCTTTATACCTTGTTCCTCTAGTTTTTGCATAGATTTAAGTTCACCCTTTTCATTCAATATTTTCCCATATCTAACTGTTTGTTCCTTCTTGTATATTATAGGATAGGAAAATGCTTCAATAGTCGATAGCCAGACTGGAATTTTCAAATAACATTGTCTTTTAATCTTCTCCCAATTTAACCACAAAGACTCCCATATATGATGTCTTCTAAAATACCCCTGTATTTTAGTTCCCTTGTACCATAAAAAAGCATGCCACCCCAACAACAAATCATGTCCTTCTAATGTCAACAATCTAGTATTTCTTAATGTTATCCATTCCTTGACCCACATCAAGTTTGTAGCTTGGTAGTACAACTCCCAATTAGGCAAACCAAATCCTCCTCTAATTCTAGCATCTTGCAAAAGTTTTAACTTTATTCTCGCTTTCTTACCTTGCCATATATATTTCAACACAATTTTATTTAAATCTTCAAAATAGTCTTTTCCAAGCCTAATTGGAATTGTTTGGAACAAATATAAAATTGTGGGTAATATATTCATCTTGATTGTTGAGATTCTCCCTATTAGTGACAGTTGTAAATTTTCCCATTTCGCCAAGTCTAGCGCTATCTGCTGTTTAAGTTTAATATAATTATTCTCTTTTAATGTACTACATCTTGCTGTCAAATGTATCCCCAAATACTTGATCTTATTTGTGACTTGAATTTTCAATAGATCTGCCAATTCTTCCTTTTGTCTTGATAACATATTCTTTGTCAAAATCTTTGTCTTATCTTTGTTTATTTTCAAACCAGCCACCTTGCCATATGCCTCTATCTTTTCCAATAATTTTGGTGATGTTTCTAAAGGGTCTTCTAAGATAAAAACCAAATCATCCACAAAGGCTTGCAGTTTAAATTCTTCCTTTTTAATTTTCATTCCTTTTATACTCTTTTCATCTCTAATATTTCTGTTTAACACTTCCAAAGTTAACACAAATAGCAAAGGCGATAGTGGGCACCCTTGTCTTGTTCCTTTTCTTATGTTAATAGAGTCTGTCAATTCTCCCTCTATCATTACCTTTGCCATTTGCTTGTAGTATATAGCTTCTATTGCTTGAATAAATTTTCTGGCAAAACCCATCTGTTCCAACAATAATAACATGAATCGCCAATTCACATTATCAAATGCCTTTTGTGCATCTAGAAATATCAAAGCCATTTGTTTTTCAGGATGTGCCTCATAGTATTCCAAGGTATCCAAAATTACTCTCATATTACCTTTAATTTGTCTCTTTGGCAGAAATCCATTTTGATGAGAATGAATAAAGTTATTTAAATATTTTTTAAGTCTTTCTGCCAATATTGAAGCAAAAATTTTATAATCTGCATTTAGTAGAGAAATAGGTCTATAGTTCTTAATTTGCAATGGATCAGCCTCCTCTTTTGGAATAAATGTGATATAGGCTTCTGAACATGATTTGGGTATCTTCTTCTTTAACATAACTTCATTAATAACTTCTAGCAATGGAAGGTTCAATGATTCTTGTAATGTTTTATAAAATTCTGCCGGAAGTCCATCTGGGCCTGGTGCCTTTCCATTATTTTGCTTCTTAAGTGCTTCAGTTAACTCCATCATAGTTATATTGCTTTCTAACATTTTTTCAGTCTCTTTAGGTATCTTAGGTAAATTAGCATTCTGTAAATACTGCTTAACTCTTTCCTCATCAATATTCTCTTGCTTATATAATTTCCCATAAAAATCTCGAATGATTTCCTTCTTCTCTTTACTGCCATGGCAAACTTGGCTTTGATCATCTATTAACTGCAATATTTTCCTTGATTCTTTTTCCTTTCCCAATTTATATGCTAACCATCTACCTGGTTTGTTTGCATCTTCAAAGTAGTTCTGTAATTTTCTGTGATAATTCTTCTTTCTCTATTTGACCCATTTTGTGTTTAATTATATCCATTTTTAGCTTAATGTCCTTTTTCTGTAACATTTTCTGTAGCTCTTCTTCAAGTCTTTTATACTCATCCTCTAGAGCCTTAGTGGCTTGTCTTTTCCTAGTATTCCTTTTCCTTGTATAATCTATTATCAAGCCTCTAGCAAATGCCTTCATTGTATCCCATACATTCTGAATTGATGTATCTTCTTTTTTATTTTCTCTAAAGAAAAAGGCCAATTCTTTCTCCATCCGCTGTGTAAAGTCTTTTTCCTTTAAAATAGTATTATTTAACGTCCATCTCAATCTTCTGTTTTGTCCTTTCCATTTAATTGTCATTGGATTGTGGTCTGCCCAAGTACTTGTTTCTATATTTATTTCTTGAATATTAGATATTAGTTCTGTTGACATCCATATCATATCTAGTCTGGACCATGATAAATGTCTATTTGAATAGAAGGTATATTGTTTAGTTTTAGCATTTCTTTC